AGGTACAGCCCCGTTTCTGGCCGCCGCGCTGCTGCCCAGGCACCCGGCTTTGCACTGCTCCTTCCGCGCTGTTGCTTGCCATCCAGGAGATGCTGCGGAGTAGCTGTCCCCGGAGATGGAGGAACGTTTAGACAACCGCAGCCCACCTTCCTGGCCTCCCCCACCCTCGCTAGGCCCTCGGGGCACAGAGGTGACAGGACTTGAGATTTGAGGAGGTCTGTCAATGACAGGTCATGGGTCGGTGGGCGCACAGCTCCCGGGGTCCTGGGGAGGCGGGGCCTGGCACACTGCCCCGGGACGGGGGGAGCGCTGCGGGCACCCAGGGCTGCAGGAAGCGTGAGGACTGGATTTTTGCCGCCTTTGTGACAAGTTTAGGGAGAACTTCCATTTAAGGGGGCACCTCCTGCCAGGGCCCTCCGTGCACTGCGTTGTCCTTCCAAATCATCCCTTAGATGCCTAAATGATATCTTTAAAGTAACACAGAAGTTTTTATTTTATTAAAAAGTATAGCCTACTTAAACATAAAGACGGCATATATAAAGAGTTTAATTTTATGGTCCCGCTAAGTGGGGAGCGCCTCCAGCCTTATTCTCCACCGTTTGGATCTGTGTGGTTTCAATTTTGGTGTGTTCCTGATACATAGGACTCCTTGTCTGTTTTCTTTTTGCCTTTTTGCTTTTTGCCCTGTCACACAGGTACCTTGAAAAGCAGGCAGCCCCCACCCCACCCGCCCACCTAATGCTGTTTGTTAAGTACAGCCACCAGTGTTTTCCTGTTGTTCTCCAAGTCTGGGAGAGAAAACTTCCTCCCCTGATGGCCAAAGCCCCAGAATAAAGGATTTCCACGTTCCCAGCCTGCCCCCTGACGTGGTTTGGTGGGACCCCTTTGCGACCTGGCCTGGAATCCCACCTCCCCCTGGAACACAGACACTCCCAGGGAGGGAGGCTCATGCCCGGTCCTGAGACTGACACCCAGACACTTGGGGAGACAGGGATGGGAGATGTTGCCTAGATCTGCGAAGTCAGCAGAGCATCCGCAGCAGAGGGTCAGTGGGTCCCCAGTGGGAAGGTACCCTGTTTGTAACTAGGTGTGGGTTTGTGTGCAGCGCCTGACCCAGGATGTTTGTAAAGTGCGCTGAGAGGCCTGTGAAACATGACAGTAGTGTCCCCAGAGTCTGTCTCCCCGTCTTTGTGAAGCTGCATCTTTCCGTGTGTCCTGACCGTTTCCATCCGTGCATCAACATCACTCAGCTTCCTTTTGGCCCCCAAACCTCCAAGTCCCGCTGCGCACCTGGCTTCTCACCAGCCTGGCTTGGCCACGGAGGGAGTCTTCAGCACCCAGCATCCCTCCTTCCATTGTGCAGTCTGAGCCCGTCACTGGAAAGCCCCCTTCTCTCATTAGTGAACGTCATGTCGGACCCCAGGGGGGCCTGGAAAAATAAAGGATGATGTATTATAACTTGTGAAAGTGAAAAGCCACTTCTGATAAATGCGTGTCATTTCTAGCTGCGGGGCCCCTTCTGCCGAAAGTGCTGGGGGGAGCGTTTGCTGAAAGTGGTCACTCTGTAAGGCTCCACAAGACAGGGGCAGGCCGTTTGGGGTGGGTCCCCATGTTGGCATCGGGGATGCCCTAGGACAGCCGTCTCAGAGGTGGCCACTAAGGATGTGGATCTCTGCTTCCTCCCACACCTGCTGATGGGAGAGGGATGTGTAAGAGCTGATGTCTGCCCTCAGGCAGGTTGGGGAGGCCCAATTAGTGAAAAGACAATGACAAGACCTTTGCAGAGGCCCCAGAGGAGGTCAGGGGAGGCTTTCTGAGAAGGTGCTGGCCAAACCAAGTCTTGACAGATGAGGAAGTATTCCCTCCCGGAGGCCAATGAAGGAAAGGGTGTTCCAGGCTGAGGGAACAGCAGGAGCAGACACGCTGAGCTGGAGTTTTGTTTTGTTTCTAATAGAAAACATTCAGTAGCTTTAGTTGGACTCCCGCTCTCCCTACTCGCTCATCCCCTAACACCCACATACAGTGAAGCAGGTGAGGAGCAGTATCTGTCTCAGAAACAGCAGTCCATTCAGAAGACAAGGGATAAAACAGTCTAATACACCAATCTCCAGGGTCTGGAAACATGGGTGGCTGGTTATGGCCGGAGCAGAGGCTGAGGGAGGGAAGAGAAAGAGGTCGGGGCTCCCTCGTGGGAGGGCCCAGCAGGTCTGCTCATCCTGGGATGAAATGCTTCATAGTCTATCCTCATCCCCTCAGGCTGCTGTAACAAAACACCATAGACTGGGGGCTAGAGTGACAAGCACTGATTTCTCTTAGTTCTGGAGTCTGAAGTTCAAGATCAAGGTGCTGGCATGACTGGGTTCTGGCGAGAGCTGCTTCCTAGCCTAGAGATGTGTCAGCTGTGTCCTCACAGGGCAGAGAAAAGTCATTTGTCTTCTCACCTAGTTCATCCTCCTCCAAGGGCATGAATCCCATTGTGAGGGCTCCACCCTCAAGACCTAATCAACTCCCAAAGCCCCCCTCCCCCATCCATCACACTGGGGATTAGGGCTTCAACATATGAACTTGGGGGAGACACAGTAACTCAGTCTATAGCAGCCTCTAATCTGATTCCAATGACATTAATCATGAGCTTTGGATTTTTCCCTCAAGGCCTGTTCACATGTACACAATCTGCCCCATCTTAGTAAACAGCACAACTGTCTACCCAGTTATGCAAGTCAGAAACCACATTTCCCTCCGTCCTCAAGAGCAGCCCACCAGAAGTCCTGGTTTCACCCCTGAAGCATTCTCTGCATCTCTCCATCTCAGCAAATACGGGCATGGAATTATCCAGGTCAGAAAACATTCTGAGAATGGAAGGCAGGGAGGGGTGGCAGAGGGAGTAGAAGGGAGGGAGCTGGAGACCCAGCCACAAGCCAGAGGGACATGGGAGTGGCTCTGTGGACAGTTTGGGGCTGTCCTTAAGCCAACTCTCCCCTGCTCTTGGTTCTGAGCCAGCGGGAGGTGGATGAGGAACCAGGCACTGTATCAGTTTCCTCATGCACCAGACCCCAAAACCCAAATGCAGAGCTTCTGAAACAGAGTTGGGAAACATTGCTTAGTGTGTTTTAGGTCAGAAAAATCTGCATCTCCTACCCCACCCACACCAAGAACCAGGGTCCCTCGCAGTAAGAAGTGGCAGCCCCTTACCAGCCAGCACAACAAGGAAGGAGCCTGCCTGCGAACCCGCCCTCCCGGGAAAAGCAGCAGAAGGGCCTCCAGGCCCAGCCCCAGAACCCAGGCCTGGGACCCGCCCGGCCCCAGCACAGCTCCCGGAGGCAGAGAAGAGAACGGTGTAGCGTTGTCTATCCTCACTCCCTCCGGTGAGTGCTCCGTCCTGTTCGGAGCACGGGGGAGCCACACGATAATCCCTTGAGGCAGAACCTTCTGTAATCCCCACTTCACAGATGAGGAAACTGAGGCACAGAGGGAGGCGGAGGACCTTGCCCAGGACGGCCCAGCTGGGCGTGCAGACCTACGATTTCAAGCCCGCCCCCTGGATGTGGAGACGGGGCATCGGCTCACGGGTGCCGGACCTAGCCAGCCTGCGAGAGCAGAACTTTGCACCTGGGTCACCCTCACACCAGGCCAGCGGCTCCCCTGCCTCACCATCCAGAGGTGGCGGCGGCCAGCTGTGTCCTGCATGAGGAAGACGATGTCCCAGGCCGGAGGTCACTTCCGGTCACCCTTGGTTCACGAGGCTCCCCGGGCAGTCCGCCGGCGCCGAGGGCACTGAGCATGCCCTGCTGCTCACAGTTTTTCCCAAGTGGAAGGTGGGCTCCCGGGGGGCCCACAGCCCCAGCTGGCCCTCCTGCCCACGCTGCCCCCAACCCTCCCTCCTCCTAGGCAGTCACCCCAAATTTCCTTCTGCTCCTTTCTAGGCCCCTCCCCACGACACCGCCACTCCTTGCCATTGCTCTGCATAGTTCCCACGCTGCCCCTCCGGAGGGGAGGCTGCCCATCACCTAGGTGAAAGCTGGATCGTTCCAGAAGGTAGCTCCCATGGCCCGTTGTCTCCCCCTGGCCACCCCTACCTTCCAGAGTGGAAGCCTCCCTGGTGTCGGATGAGTGACCCACCTGCGCCGCAAGATCCCGGATCCGGCACAGTTCCCGGGAGAGGATGCATCCTTCAGCGCCAGAACACTGGCGATACAGGCCTTCCTGGTGACCGCCAGAGGCTGCCAGCTGTGCTGAACCGCGTTTCATGAATAATAGAGGCTTCCTGTCCTCCAGGCCAAATCCCCAGGTCCATGAAGATGCCTCCGCGGCACATCGTTTCTGATAGGTCCACGGAGGAAGCCCCGCCTCCAAACAGCGCCTCCTGCCGCCGACACACTGAACATCTCTCCGTTCTAATGCTTCGATGCTCCATCACGCCCTCTAGTACGTCCTGTGCTCAGCAGTCCACAGCGTCTGCTTTTTTTTTTTTTAATCATGGGTTTTCAGCAACTTGGTAGGCAGTCTTTGAGGTGACCCCCAGTGATCCGTGACTCAAGAAAGTCAGCAGCAAGGGGCCCTGTGTAGGGTCCACATAGTAGGGGACTGAGGGAGGCCAACAGCCTGGAGGAACTGTGACCTGTGAGAAGCCGTATGAGTGACATGAGCCATCACATCAGACTATAGCCCCAGCCAACAGTCTGGCTGCAACCTTGTGAGAGACTTCGAGCTGGGGGCATCCAGTCGAGCCTTGCTAGGTTGCTGGCCTACTGAAACTGTGAGATCACCAGGGTAAGTTGTTTTAAGCTGCTGGATTTGGAGG